TCTTAACTTTGTATGGGGGAATTGTTATGCATCTCTTCAGACTTGGTTTCACTTTTGAAGTACCGATACTCTGTATCAATAAACACGTTCTTTGAGGAATTTGCAAGCCTCAGAGTTTTGCTTTGTCTCTGTCGATTGGAACCATGACAGGATGAACAGTAACACTTTATTTTATATTCTATCAAATTAAGGATTATTTTTACAGAAACGAAGTTGAATTTGTCGCTATTGTTTGCAGATTTGAAGATAGTAAGATGATTGCTCACAGCTGTATTCTCTCTCTCTTAAAAAATCAATTTTATTTTCTGTATAAAGGTAAGGGTCAGAAAGTAATTATTGTAAAGATTGAAGTTGCCCTCGGTTCCCAGACCAGAGAAAGCAGCTTAGTAAACAAAGAACCAATGGCAAAGAGATTCAAGGTCAAGAAAAGATCAGGCAATAGTCAACTCAAAAAGGAGAAAGGAGAAACAAATGTAGATTTATACAGGTTCACAGGGCAGATTTCCTAAATGAAGAATTTCTTCATAGCTATTCTCGATAACATTGGATTTGTGTACAGAGCTAAAGAGACAGTTTTCTCAACTTTCATGGCTGTTCCTGATATAAACTTAAAATTGGCCTAAGGCGGTTTTGACTGTTGGGGATTAATCCAAATATACAACAGTTCATTTAGTGATCATTCAAATTTACAACAGCACTGAAAATAGTGACATATGACTGTTTTTCACACCTACAACCATTGCAGCATCCCATGGCCAGCTGATCAAAATCTGGATGCTTGGCAACTAGTTCATATTTATTACGGCTGCAGTGTCCCAGGGTCATGTGATCCCCTTTTGCAACCTTCTGACAAGCAAAGTCAAGGGAGAAGCCAGATTTATTTAACAATTGTGTTACTAACTTAACAACAGCAGCGATTCACTTAACAACTGTGGCAAGAAAGTCACTTAACAACTGTCTTGGTTATTAACAGAATTTTGAGGCTCAGTTGTGGTCATAAGTCAAGGACCACTTGTATTTAGATGCCTATGATTATTTCTGTATGTTTATGAGTTTAACAGAAAATAATCAGCAAGCATCACCTCTTACACTCCAACTATTCCTATATGTTTGTATGGGAACATCTGTCATTATTTTCTGGGGAAAAACAGAGGCAGTTAGAAGGCCATCTGCCTAAGGGAGGATCAATTAAACAAAAACACATTAAAACTCTAAAAACCTGGCAGCAAACCTTGGAGGCCTTCCAAATAATAATGCCAGCATTGCAGCAATTCTACAAACCTTTCCCACCACACCAGTATATTGTCACAAACAGGGAATTGGGGAAGTGGAGGAATGAACTGAATGTGAATGGTAATCACATAGGAAATGAGAAGCAGGATGAGGCAAAAGTCTCTCCAACAGAAGCATAGACCCAAAGCAATAAAAGGTCAGGATTTCTCCCATTCATGGAAACAATGGTACCAAGACAGACAGATGTCAGAATTGCAAGCCTTCAATAGAGGGGCTGTGTTGCTTTACTAGTGAAATATATATAGTGCCTTGGTCTGGAAAGCTTTGCAGTATAAAATTGGGGCATTCAAAGACATAAGACTTGTTTAGTAGAGTTCACATTTCATTTCTTAGGTTGCTCCTTAAAGAATGAATTACTGTATACTTTGAGGATAAGTTCTTGGACATCTAGACTCTATAAATCCACCAGACACAGCTTATGCCCTGTGAAGTTCAGGACGTTGACTTTGTCTCTTTCCCCAAAGCTCTCCCTGACTTCTCTTTTGTATACAGAACATGGAGTCCCTTCCTGCTTTCTGCACAGAGAATAGGGTTGTGAAGAAGGAGCTTCTAAGAGAAGAGAGAAAAAAGAAAATAGAAAACTCCACATGGGTTCCTCCATGCAGAGGAAAGGCAGAAAGCCACTGTTTTGTCTCTTCCTGTCTACATTTTTTCCCCAAATGGTTTACGAAGTCTACAGAGCCATGGAATGCAAAGAATCAGTCCTTACAAATATATAACAGATTCAGGGGCAATTAATCATCTTCATTATATGTTTCTTCAAACATTCTAAAAGCACACAGTAATCTCAATCATCTCCAATGAGTCAACATCAACAATATTCTTTTCTTAGATGGGGCTCAAAATCCAATTTAAGAGCAAGAGAGCTGAAGAAGCTTCTTGGATGAGAAGCAAAACATCTTCAAAGAAAAACAAGAAAATCCAGTTGCCTTGTGAAAAAGCATCTTTGGGATAATAATGATGTGGATGACTGAGAATCTCCATCGACATTCAAGAGCAAGGGTTGCCTTGGATTCTTCACTGTCCCTCCACGGAAGCTGAATTAGATGCTGGAAATATTTATTTATTTAAATTTCCTATTTCTATTTCCACATATACAATATAATCAATATATAAATATTATTTATATTAAAATTGATTTAAGATTAAAACATTTTAGATTATAAAATATATTATAAAATTTCTAAAAGGTAAGGAGGAGTGGTACTCATGGGGCCAACAAGTCCTAAGGTTGTTGGTCCCCTGTGCAAGGCCGCACAGCCATATTTTGACCCCTTTGAGGAAGGCTAGGAGCGTGGGGGCCCACCTCTGGGGGCAAGTTGTTCCATAATGCAGGGGCAGCGACAGAGAAGCTCTTTTCCTAGATCCCACTAGTTTAAATTATTTGATTGAAGGGATACACAGCATACCTTCCTTGCCTAAACTGCACCCGAAGAAACATAACGGGTGCACAATGTGGAATTGGGCAAAGGCTCTTCTGACCATGCCTGCTACCTGCTCTTCAAACAGGAGTTGTGAGCCTAAAAGGACCCCAAAGTTATGGACTAGGTCTTTCTAGGGTAGCACAACTCCATCCTGGATACAGAGGAGCCCACTCACAGCCACTCCATCTTAACAGGGTTCAGTTGAACTCTGTTGTTTCTCATCCAGCCCCCTCCAGCCCCCAGGAACCATGAAAGGACATCCACTGCATTACTCACTGCACCCAGGGCAGAAATATATAGCTCGGTATCATCAGCGTATTGGTGATTATATAGAGCAGTGGTTCTCAACCTGTGGGTCGGGACCCCATTTGGGGTCGAACGACCATTTCACGGGGGTCGCCAAACAATGCAGTCTGTCATTTTTTTTCCCCTTTTCCTTAGCTGTGCTACTCCCTTTTATTCTATTGGCTTTTGAAAGCCAATAGAATAGACTCTCTTGAATAGAGTCTAATTCTATTGGCTTTCAAAAGCCAATAGGAATTGTCCAGGCTGTCTCTGCCCTGCTGAGCCCTCCAAAAGTCCCATTCTGCAAACGGTGCTGCACCAGTTGAGTAGTCCTCGACTTACGACCGGTTGAGTAGTCCTCGACTTACAACTGGTTGGGGATCGCGGCATTAAAAAGGTTGAGAACCACTGATATAGAGAGACTGATGATCTCACCCATTGGTTTCATGTAGATATTAAAAAGAAGTAGAGAGCATCAAGACCTTTGATATCCCACAAAGGAAGGGTCATGAATAGAACTTCTCAGTCCCTATTAGATACGGACTTGGAAGAAGGAGATAACTGCACAAAACTGTGCCACTCACCCCCCAAATCCCTAAGATGGTGGATGATACTGAAAGCCACTGAGAGGTCAAGGACAATGAGGATGGACTTACCAGTTCCATCCTGCTCCTGCCAGAAATCATCCATGAGTTCAACCAATGCAATTTTGGTCCCAATATGGAAGGATTCTCCAGTTATGGAGAGGTTTGTGCTGTTCCATAGTTGTTGCAAGTTAATTGTTGAAGTAAATATTATGCTCGGCTTGTTTACTTTCCAACATAAGTTTAATCTAAGCTATTTGATCCAGTTTGTATCACAGTAATGTAAGAGGAGTTTGCAATGTGCAGGAAATATTTCCTTAAAAAGAGTGAAACTACTTTCCAGCAATTTTCAGAGCTAGCAATAGCAATTGCATTTAGATTTATATACTGCTTCCCGGTGCTTTACAGCCCTCTCTAAGCAGTTTACAGAATCGGCATATTGCCCCCAACAATCTGGGTCCTTTGGTGCAGGTGTACTTCTTAAAAGATGGCCTTGTTGGTAAAGCTGTTCTGGGAGCAACCTCTGAAGTTTATTTATCTGTTATCTGTAGTTCCTCTTAGACTATAACCAAGCTTTTCAAGAAAAATGCAGATAGGACATGTCAGTTCCCATTCAGACAGCAAGAGGGCAGGAGACATCTCAAAATATTAAGTTTCTTTAGCCATGCAGCCAATTTTTCCCCAACCCTTTTGAGAGTTTTTTTCATATAATGCATGAAAGCTAAGCTGATTAAACCATGATTTATCACAGTTATGACTGTGACAGAGGCATAGTGCCCATGATTCTTAACCAATATTGTGTATAAACATTTTCAATCAGAATAGAGCTGGAAGGGACCTTGGAGGTCTTTTAGTCCAACCCCCTGCTTAAGCAGGAAACCCTATACCAGGGATGTCAAACTGGTGGCCCGCAGTCCAGATATGTCATATGCAGGCCACACCCACCCTGGCTCCTGAAAGGCAAAAAACGTCGCTATATGTCACGATATGTCACGTGACGCAATTGAGTTTGACACCCATGCCCTATACCATTTTGGAGAATTACTGTATTCTCTTGCAATACAGTATTTATAACCACTATTTGCATCCTCCAAATTCTTGTACGTGTGCTTCATTTCATATTTACAGTCATAATAAGATTTTGTTATCAGTACAACTATCATATAATAAGCACTTTTGTCCATGTTCTGCATAGTACCTGGTAGGGCCATGAAGATTAAACATGAGATAGTTCTGTTCCTTTCAGTAAGCCATGTATAAAAATTACTGTGGAGCAGGAGCGTTTATACATGTGTTTCAATTCACCATTTCAACAGCTTCCCTGTGATTAGATTGCACTGTTGGCTATAATCCTAAAATGAAAGATCACATTTTGGGGGAAAAAATGAAAATAATCCAACTGATATTTTTTTACCTGATTGAAAATATTTTGGTGCTGGGCCATCTTTCTCTCCTTTGGCACAAAGAAGCGCATAACCTTGCAAAAAGCCTCGTCTGTCTTCAACAGATATATTCTTCCATTTCACTGAGATGGAATCAGAGGTGGTATGTTGCACACTAAAATCAGGTGCCTTTTTGGGACCTGGATAGGAAACAACCAAATATTCCTTGAATGTGGAGAGGACAGATTCCCCTCCTGCTCAGAATATCCTCCTCTACCCACTGGAGCAACTGTGCAGTGTTTCACAACCTTAACAATTTTAAGATGAATGGTCTTCCATTCCCCATGTTGGCTGAGGAATTCTGGAAGTCCACCCATCTTAAAGTTATCAAGACTGAATCATTGGCTATAGTGAAGCAAAACATGCCTTTTGCAAACAGAAGGCAATTTTAGGTAGCTGGAACATTCAGAAGTGGTTAAATCCTGAAACAAAATCACTCTTCTTGTTGTCTATGGAGATTCTCAGTCATCCAGATCATGGTTGTCCCAAAGGTGCTTTTTCAAAAGGCAACTGGACTTTCTTTGTTTTTGCTTGAAGATGTTTCACTTCTCATCCAAGAAGCTTTTTCAGTTCTGAACTTCTTCAGAAGAAGCTTTTTTGGATGAGAAGCAAAACATCTTCAAGCAAAAACAAAGTCCAGCTGCCTTTTGAAAAAGCACCTTTGGGACACCCATTTTGTTATATTAATTTTCCAAGAAAATAATACAATTATTGATGGCATTTCACTGTCTATTACCTCAACCCTCTTGGATTCTAATGAACTCCACCCATCTTAAAAGAAGGATTATGATTTATGTTTAGCAGAATTCTGTTCTGCAAGAAAAGTGGGAGTCTAGAACAGCTCTTCACTCAAGTATTCTTTGAATCATTTTCAACGTGGGAAAAAAGTTCAAGAGTTGCATTCTGAGAGAACTTTCCTTTCTGGAGCTGTCTTTATTTCCAGCTAGACCTATAGACATTTAAGTTACATTTAACATTAAGGACTGGATTTAATGATTACATTTAGATTACTGCAGCATTTTCTCAAATGGCTGAATCCTGTTTATACTCTATCTTCTTTCCCCCTTTATTTTCAAGACAGAGCTGTAATTCTTCTAATTGTATCCTATTATTTGAAAATAAAAGATCTGAGCCAACCAGCTGTATAAATGTACTTAAATGCAAGCGCAAAGCTAGTATTAGCTGGCTCTTATTTCATATCCTGGCTTTTGTTCAACAATCTCCACCTCCATTAATGAACACGTTTCTGCCAACAACTTTTAACAAAAAATAATAACATGTGCTTACTCAATTCTTGTATGTAGCCCTTGATATATCCCAGTAGCTGATATCCAGTTTCTTTGCAGCAAAAGATAGAAAATGTGTATCGAACTCCAGGCTGGAAGACAGCTGCAACACAAAAATGTAATTTATAATTTTTTCTTATGGCACTAACTTTAAAATAAAGATATATTTTCATATCAAGCAGGTAGGAAACAATCTTTTGACTTAGAGGAATGTATTTTTTTACAATAGAAATTGAGAAAATTACAACTTATCTAACAATTGGGTCCTTTCAATGGAATATGTTGAGCATAAGTAAGCTGTAATAATCATCTTCCTCAAAATAAATTTGGCAGTTTCTTGGGAGTTTTTCCTTTTTATTTTATTATTTGTTGATTTATTATTGGTACATAACTCTTTTCTAGAAGGGCTTGCATTGTCTACATGACATGACTTGATATGACTTAACATGTGCTATTGTGACCCATCAGCAGGCAACAAGAGCCAGCGGTCCAAAGTAGCATGTAGTACAGAGAGCTGGCTGCTTTAAGGTAGCTCCTTAAGCATAGGGAGCATCCTCTTGTTAGTTGCCAGTTGGCTTCTTGAAATATTTATATTGTAAAAGGTTTCTGCCTTTCTTTGTCCACTTAGCCTTAATTTCAAAAGGAAAGCTGAAGTGTTGCTCTTACCTGATTTAATATCAGCATTTGTCACACTTGAAGAAAACGTTTCCCAGTGAACAGCTGTACATGGCTCAGGACCATAACACCACCTCACTACGTAGCCACAAGTCACATTGGAGTCCGGGTGCCAATCAAGAGAAATAGTATCATCTTTTCCAATTCTCTTTTCTATAGAAACATCACCTGTTATAAAAGTAATATAAAAGATTATTCCTTAGAACTATGCACAAATATAGCATGCTAATTATGACTATACTGCAGATATGGCCCATACAATATATCCTGTGGGTTACATTTTCAAATATCATTTTTATCTCAATGAACACAAATAACACAAGATCCTTTTAGGTGACCACACAGTCTTAAGTTCCTTAGGCAGGGGTATTCATGCAACTTGGATTTAAAGGGACCTTGGAGGTCTTCTAGTCCAAACCCCTGTTCAAAGAGGAGACCCTTTACCATTTCAGACAAGAGACTGTCTAGTCTTTTCTAAAAAAAACATCCAGTGATGGAGCACCTACAACTTCTGGAAGCAAGCTGTTCCACTAATTAATTGTTGTCACTGTTAGGAAGTTTCTCCTTAGTTCCAAGTTGCTTCTCTCCTTGATTAGTTTGCATCCATTGTTTCTTGTTCTGCCTACAGGTGCTTTGGTACATAAGTTGATTCCCTCCTCTTTATGGCAACCTGTCAAATACTGGAATACTGATGTTGTGTCACCCCTACTCCTTCTTTTCTGTAAAACCCAAATCCTGCAACCGTTCTTTATACGTTTTAGTTCCCAAGCCTTTAATCACCTTAGATGCTCTTCTTTGCACTTTTTCTAAAGTCTTAACATCTTTTTTCTAATGTAGTGATTAAAACTGAAGGCAGTATTCCAGGTGTGGTCTTACTAAGAATTTATAAAAATGTATTAATACTTCACGTGATTTTGATTCTATGCCTCTGTTTATACAACCTAGGATTGCATTAGCTTTTTTGGCTGCTGCCACACACTGCTGGCTCATATTTAACTGATTGTCCACTAGGACTCCAAGGTCCCTCTCACAGTTACTGTTTTTGAGCCAGGTTTCACTTAATCTATACTTGTACTTTTGTTTTTTCCTGCCTAAGTATAAAACCTTGCTTTTCTCCACTTTAAATTTTATGTTGTTGGCTAGGGCCCATGGTTCAAGTCTGTCAAGATCTTTTTGGATCCTGAGCTTGTCTTCTGGGATGTGGCTATTCCTGCCAGCTTAGTGTCATCTGCAAATTTGATGAGTTCCCCTTCTATTCCCTCATCTAAGTCATTTATGAAGATATGGAAGAGTACTGGGCCTAAGACAGAACCCTGTGGCACCCCACTTCTTACTTCCTTCCATTAAGGACAACTCGTTGAGTACGGTTTGTCAGCCAGTTACAAATATATCTGGTGGTGATGCTATCTATCCCACATTTTTCTAGCTTACCAAGAAGTAGGTTGTGGTCTACTTTGTTGAATGCCTTGTTGAAATCGAAGTATACTATGTCCACAGCATTTCACTGATCTACTAATTTACTCATTTTGTCAAAAAATGAAATAAGATTGGTTTGGCATGATCTGTTTTTAGCAAACTTGTGCTGACTTTTATTTATAACTTTATTTGTTTCTAGATGTTCACAGATCTGTTTGTGAATTATCTTTTCCAGTGTCTTCACAGGTTTTGATGTTAGGCTGATTGGTCTGTAGTTTCCTGGGTGTTTTTTTCCCCTGTTTTGAAGATGGGAACCACATCAGCTCCTTTCCAATCTTCTGGTGTTCCAGAATTTTTGAAAGATACAGTACAATGGTTCTGAGATAACATCTGCCAGCTCTTTCAGAAATTTGGGATGTAAACCATCAGATCCCAGTGATTTATATTCATCAAGATCAGCTAGATGTTCTCTAACCATTTTCTTGCTTATTTTAATTTTTATTTCTAGTCTGTCTTTTATAGTTAGGTTTTGGGTAGGTTGGGCTATAGTTTCTTTTTGTGTGAACACTGATGCAAACAATGAGTTAAGCAGCTCTGCTTTCTCTGTACTCTGGACCTGGAATAGGCAGATGTTGTTGTTTGATGTTGTAAAAGGTGTTAGTCACAGAATAGAAGCTGTCCCAAGTAAAGCTTCCTTTTGCAATTAACTGATGGCAATTTTGTCAATGCTGGTAGTGTTCAAGAAGTGCTTTAGATATTTTGGGATTGCACCAAGGTACCCTGGTACTTATCTTTGCTTTATTTTGCCATAGCCATTGTCTTTGTATTTTGTGATTTTCTTCCATTCTTCTCTTTTATTCTACTGCCTTCAGATATTGCTGTGCCCACTATCCAGTTGTTACATCTGGGATATTATGTGGCAGATGCTTGTCTGTTTGAATTTTATTATCATTATGGCCCTAGCTTCAGTATAATTTCTCTGCTTAGGACAACTCAAAGCAGAAAACTAGATCAACTGGTGTACTTTTACATGCAAATATGTTAAATTCTACAAGATATTACCATAATAAAAATCAATGACATTTTAGGTTAAAAATGGGAATGCAGTGTTAAAATTTTATAAAAATACTTTTCTTTTACTCATATAATTTGGCTCTAAGTAATTGGATAGCTTAGTTCAATGTTCTCAATCTTCACAACTTTAAATGCATGGATTCAGTTCCCAGAATTCTCTAGCAGGAAGCTGGCTGGGGAAAGTCTGGAAGTTGAAGTCCATGCATTTTAAAGTTGTCAAGTTTGAAAAATACTGTACTAGACTGCTAAGCCACTTAGCATCAAATAGCAAATGTGGACTTGAACTGGCATGTTACAGAGAGAACAGGACAACTACTCTTCAGCAATGGGGTTTAATGCAAAAGCGTGGGTTGGGTTTTTTGTTTTGGTTTTTGCTATCCACAGCAATGTTGCAGGTGGAATGTAGAAAGAGAAGCAAGCAGAAGCCATGGAAGCAATACAATCAGCAATTTTCACAAAAAAGTACTCTATGGAAATTGACCAATTTGATTTTGGTTACTTCAAAAGAAATCCAATTTTGTTTCAGGGAATCATGGCATCTTTTCAAAGTATCTCCATTGGACTGCGAGCTTGGGTTTTGTGCCGTACCCTGTGGTGATGGTGCTGATGATAGCAGTATTCCAATATCTCAGGGGCTGCCACAAAGAAGAGGGAGTCAAGCTATTCTCCAAGGCACCTGAAGGCAGGACAAGAAGCAACGGATGGAAACTAATCAAGGAGAGAAGCAACCTAGAACTAAGGAGAAACTTCCTGACAGTTAGAACAATTAACCAGTGGAACAACCTGCCTCCAGAAGTGGTGAATGCTCCAACACCGGAAGTTTTTAAGAAGAGACTGGACAGCCTTTGTCTGAAATGGTATAGGGTTTTCTGCCTGAGCAGGGGGTTGGACTAGATGACCTCCAAGGTCCCTTCCAATTTCTATTATTATTATTATTATTATTATTATTCATTAAGGTTTAGCATACTTGGAGTTGCTTCCTTGTATACACTTTCCATTTACTATCTGAATGGGTTTAGGCCATTACTTTGGTTGACAATGTCAACTTAGCAAGAATCTTTTAGCACTGCAAATAACTAATGGCAGGGGCATTCACAGAAAAGAATAAACCTATCTCCTCTTTTCTGAAAGCAAAGCAGAATCAAAGCATAAGAGAAGCACCCCTTTCTGTTATGATCTTCATACCTTAAACAGATGGGCTTTCGGCCATCAGCCAACTAGGCAATGGGTTACCCAACCTCCCCCATCTCAGTATATACTGTATGCTTCTCCTTATTCTGGACTTTTGTAGGAAAGAGAGATATTTTATTCCTTAACTATTGCTCAGCTCCTCCAGCTTTTGTACTGCCAACTGTGCTGACAGCATTCCTTTCTAAATTCCCTCATAAAAAAACACAAGCTTATCTCAAGCAAAACACATACAAATACACATAAATGAAGCATTGTCTTCCATAAGCATCTGTAGTATTTGCAAAAAGCAGAAAGTCCAGTCTGTAGCAACAGCCAGCGTATTCCTCATGCTGCTTTTTAGATGAGTCAGCCTCAATGAAGTTGATTCATGACTCATGATGCCTCTCACTTACGTTACAGATAATGCAAAGACACATTCAGTCATCCAAAAATGTTCCTTTGTAAGGAACATCAGATGAGCCATAAGAATTGTAAGTTGCTCATATCAGTCAGAGCTATAGATTATAGAACCTGGAATAGTAGTTAATGGTTCCTCTGGAAAAAAAATCCCCAATATAATTTACAAGGAAATTCCATAATTCTAAAAATAGCATCAGTCTGTTCAAGTAAAGTTTATCATTTAAAAAAAGAAAAATCATATCTCAGTTTTGATTAGAACAAAACCTATTTCAAAGGTATATGGCATTCTATCTAACCTAACTCTGATCCCATAACACTAGAATATAGAAATAAAAATTTCCTCCTCTTATCTTTGTCTGTTGTTTCTTTCTTAGTTAAATAAAGGGAACGACTTGTCAGACTGGTTCTTTGTGAAGTGCCAGGTACATATAAATCACTGTTAATAAATCAACTGCTTCCCACTGATAAGTTTTGATCATAAAATGTCTGCAGGTTTTTAAACATTCTCAGATACATGCTGACAGCACATGGCTATTTTGAGCATACAAGTTATGTTAGTATCATCATCATCTTTCTCATTTTAGTGAATCGTCAATAGTAGTTTGAAGTTTCAGTCAATAATCTGTGCCAAGCTAGGTTCCTGAAGACCTAATGAATGCTGAATATATTGTCACTAGTATAATTCTTAATTTCAATACTTCTTTACAAAAACTAGAAAAACATAGCTATTTCCGTGGTCCAAGATTTTCTGAAGAAAGCCCTTTTCTTTTGAAAATAATTCTCCTGGCATAGGAAACACAGCTAAACAGAACAATAGACAGATGGGGGGGGGGACGGGGACAGTGTCAATCTAGGATGAAGGAAGGAAGATGATGCAACTAGATTAGCATATATATGCCTAAAGTTTATTGATTTATAAGCTTTAAGTATCAGCACACTTAATTTTGCAAATGTTTGTATGTTAAACTTTAAAATTATAAAACAGAATGGGAAAAAAATCTGAGCACCACTACTCTAAATAATAAGAACCATCATTCTTTTTAAAAAACAAAAATTCTTACACCAAGATTTTCTCTAATAACTAAATAGCCAGAGTCATGTTGTTGTTTTTCTTAACAATAGTACATAAGTTATTGGTGTTTGCTTCTTCCAGAAATTTTTTTAAAAAATCACTCTAATTTAAAGTCCTGGAGTTTCCACATTTAACCCTACTTAGCTATCTCAAGGTACATTTTGATTTATTTATTAAATTTCTATAGTTGCCAATCTCAAATAAGTTCCTCTGGGTAGTTAATCATAAAATCAATTAAAATCAAATACAAATGTAATAACAAAATAAATGCATATGTATAACAAGCAAGAAAAAGAATGATAATAAATATCAATATAACCAAAAAATGGGACCTTTAACACATTCAGGGCCTCAGGCTGAGGCATATAACTATGTGTTGCCAAAGGCCAACAGGGTTGGGCCATCCTCATTGCTGAAGGGAAAATGTTCCAGAACTGAGTTACAATTGAGATTGCCTAAAATCAAGGTTGGGCTAAGCATTGTCAACTCTGCAATATTCTCCAGAAAGGAAATTTCAAAAAGGAAATTGAGCTTCTTACTGCCTGAACAAGACTCATCATTAATCCATCTTAATAGAATATAGATTAAGAATCTTTCTCACTGATTCTAAGTGTTAGTATGCCAAAGCTAGGAAGATGAAGGTGTTATATCAGCCAGTTGTTGTTGAGATGGACTCTGGTCCAGAAACAGCACATGCCATAATATATGCAGTAGTCTTTAACATTGCCAGATACATTTTTGCTTTTGGTTTTAATGCAGGAGTCCCCAATCTTTGTGGCTTGGCAGCCCAGCTGGGAGAGGGAGAGGGAGAGGGAAACTGGGCCACCTGAGTGGTGGGTTGGTGTGAGTGGCGGGCCAGCCCGGGAATGCCTGGTGGCCTGCCACTTGCACAAGTTGAGCTGCACATGCGCATGAATGCACTCCGGTCAGCCACTCACGCAGCCCAATTCTGGTAGTGGGCCCTGGCCGGGAGGTTGGGATAAAGAGATGCAAAGAAAAATGAGAATCAGAAACCTAAAAGACATTTATCAAGACATACATACAAAACTATTTTGCTTTTGGGATAAGCAACATCACAAGAAGTGTTTTTCAAAGAGAATATCAAATAGTAACCTACAATCAAAAATGAAGATGATTATGCTCTAATTTTCATATAAAACACAGCTGAAGTAGAGGAGAAATATTTTATTTGCAAACAAACAAAATTTTGGATCATGGCAGCCACCACAGATGGAGCAGAAGAATTGCCATTTGATAGCTACCAAAAGATGCTGCTGCAAAGCCATTGTGTCATGACGTACAGGAGAAGAATGACTTCTTGTGTTTTGATGTCCACACTTGACTTTCATGCTGTATTTATTTGATTTGCAAGTTATATTCTGAGTGGCCAGAGAGCTGCCAAGCTAATGCCCCAACCACACCTGTACCTTCCCAGAATAAAGGGTTTTACCATAATCTATAGTAGTGTTTTTCAAAATTGGCAATGTTAAGATGGGTGGATTTCAAGACTCAGAATACTCCAGCCAGCTCTGGGTCTATAGGAATCAGAATTGAAGGACAACAAAGAAGGACATTGAAAGAAGCAAGTTACAGTCCACAAATGTGAAATGTTACATCATAGCTCAGTACAGCTGACTTCTCTTTCATTAAAAAAAACTCAGAACACCCGTTCTCATATCACTGTAGCACAGGAAGACTGCTTGTCCTCTTTCCCCTTCTTTCAACCATGAGCTTCAGTAAAAGTAAAGAGTGTTATCAAGAGTTTCAGAATATTATGATCCAGAACTCTGATTGCCAGTTTGCTTGTGGACTGATTGGGGGACAAGAGAGCGACAACAAGAGAGGCGATGATCCCCGAGCTTATGAGTATACAGACGGATGTGAGACTATTAGAAGCAATATGGTCAACTGGGGTGGGTAGACCGGTAATGCATTCTATGAGCAGAGTGCACAAACTGCCGGTCTTATAATCAGGCTTTCAAACCTCCAGCATTCCATTCTGACAACTTTGGCAGTTAGCTGAAGAAAGCTAAGTTTATCAAATAGTTGTTAATTTATTAAACAGTTGTTTTTATATTTATCCCGGTGTTCAACTATTTTTCTCAACACACACACACACACACACACACACACACACACACACACACACACATATATATTCCTTAATTATCTTAAAAACTCGACTCCCAGGTGTATTCATATTGAAACTGCAACAAAGTCACTGAACTCTAGGATAAATAAAAACAAACTGTTTAGTGTTTAATACTTAGCTTTCATCAGTCCTCTGCTGATGTCTTCAGAGTAAAAGCCAGTAGTTGGAAGACCTGCTTATATAGCCAGCTGTTTCAGCGATCTGGTCATACAGCACGTAACCGATCTACCCGCCCCTCGCTCTCCCCCAGTCAGCGGCACGATTAGGAGCAATACAGCTAACTGGGGAAGAGCGAGGGACAGGTAAAACCCTGTTTTACTCTGAGATGTCAGCAGAGAACTGATGAAAGCTAAGTATTAAACAGTTTGTTTTTATTTATCAGAGTTCAGTGACTTTGTTGCATTTATATATATATATATATATATATATATATATATATATATATATATATATATATATATATAATCTGTAGGTGAGTGGATTTGCTCTTGACTTGGTCTTGGTGGAAATATCATGTAGATGTTTTTAATTTCTTCAGTTTATGTTCTTACCTAGTTATAAGATTGACAAATTAAGGGATCCTAGGTCTTTTTTTAAACTCCCACATCTTATTGACACTTTGTAACAAAAATAGAAAATATTTTAAATTCAATTATGGAAATTATTGTATGACTGAATCATACTTTTACAGTTCAATAGACATGCAACTTATAGCATCCTTCTATTAAAGGGAGAAAACATGGCTGGAAGAATATAATCCTGGGTTGGATAATCAATAATTTCTTAACATTTAAGAGATGTTAAGAAATATTAGCTCTGTACATATTGCCTAAGATTTTTTTTAACCTGAACATGTTCTGTTTTAGCTGTGCATTTTTAAAATAATATGGATGGCTATATAAATGTTTTAAATAAATAAATACCATAAAGCTTTGAAGACCTGACTTTTCCCCCAAGCATTGGGGTAAGAGACTTGATGACTAGGGTTTTGTTGCTTTTTATGTTTTTTAAAAGTTTAGTTTTATAGCTTTATTGTGTTTTTTATGTTGTGTTTACTTTTGATGGGGAGCCATCCAGGCTTGTTTATAAAATAATAAAATAATAAATAAAATAAAAAATAATAAAATAAAATAATAATAAAATAAATAAATAAATAAATAAAATAAAATAAATTCCACAGTGGTCAACTCTATTAATAGTTGTTTCTGCTCTCTTCCACAAACAATTGCATTAATAAATAGTGTTCCTGTGAGGAGTCTTGTAAGAAAAGAGGGAAGAATTGGGAGGAAGCAAACTTCCTTGAAGCCACTGTCCGCCATTTCCGGAAAAAGGTAGACATATGTGAAATTCAGGTGGATGCTGACATTAAAACTTCCACATTTGGACACGCAAGCTTCAATCTGGCCCCATTAACAAAGCAATAGGATCACTATTTACACACATTGTTCATTATTCTGACTTGTTTGAAAGCTGTTATCCATCATATCCAGGCTCATTGGAAACTCAGTGGAAGTGCAATTAATGGAAGACTTCTTATTTATTTGCTCAAGAAAAGGAGAAACATATGCTGCCAAAAACCTTGTTCAAAATTCAGCTTATAAAAGCAATGCAGGATTATCTAAATTTTCCCACACGCTCAGAGTGGGTAGAACATCTAATGTTTGCACTAATCTTCTGCTGTTTATAGGACTTTTAATGGAAACTGAAATACTGCAAATACCATCTATTTTTTTAACCAGCATACTTTTAAAAAAATCATGAAAAGGTGATATTGTTGTTTTTAAACATAAAGTCTCACTGGACCTTTTCTGCTCACTCTTCCTACAACTTATAAACAATGTCAATTTCCTCTGTTACTTACCCGCTGGAAGCTCAGCACTATTGATTGAAGAAGGAGGAGAAACACCTGCCTTATTCTTTGCCCTCACTGTAAATATGTAATCATTTTTCCAAAGTTTTATTTTGGTGGAGTTTTGGGATGCAGGAACTGATTCATTCTTTGTGGATTTATCTGGCAGTGTCCAATATACCTCATAAGTCTCTATCAATCCATTGCTTTCAAGAATAGGGAGTGGCTGCCCAGAAAAAGATCACAAACACAAGCAGATAATTATTCCAAGGGAAAAAAAGGAAGGAAGTGAGAGAATAAATAAATGACTTAAAAAGTCTATCATAAATATTCCTTATCGTCCTCTGTTTACAAAGCACTGGACAAACCACTGCTATACAACTGTCCTTATTGCACAAAGACATACAAACGGTCCAGAAGACAACATTTGGTGGGACAGGTCAAAGAATCTTGGCATGGAGTACACAAGCATGTCTTGCCTGAAGATATGTTCTACACATGCCAAAATCACTACCATGGTTGACTATCCATGTATATTTCTGACAATGTTGCATCTGACTGTGTTGAGGATATTTTTACAAAACCATTTCTCCTGTGACTGCTGAGAGGAGAAATCTTCCCAATGGTGCTTATTTGCCTTTGAAAGAGATATGTGAAAGTTCAAGGAAAGTTCAATCTTCAGTCAGTTAAATATTGACTCAGTTTGGTCCAACAGTTAAGGCACCAGGCTAAAAACCAGGAGGCCGAGAGTTCTAGTCCCTCCTTCGTCATGAAAGCCAACTGGGTGACACTGGGCCAATCATCCTCTCTCGGCCCAACCCACTTGTTGTGGATAAAATAGGAAGAGGAAGGAGTATTAGGTATGTTTGAGGCCTTGAGTTACTTATAAAGTAAAAAAAGAGGGATTTTAAAAAATCTAATAAAATGCATTTTAAAAATTGATATTCAAAACAGAGTTAATGGGAACTTAGACACAAAAATCTCAATACATACCTTCCAAAAGAGAGTGACTGTATCATTAGCATCTTTTTCTCTCCAGATATCAAGCTCTCTTGTTGGTTCTAGGAGAAGAGTGGTTAATTGCATTAATGAAAGTATTAATTGTTAATAGGAATATATAATAGGTACATTTTCTTTTAAAAAAACAATTTATGTATTGTCCAATTTTTATTCATCAGGCATTGTATAATTTGCAACCCTGAAGCTTTTTCATTGTTTGGAAAAAAACAATGGGGAAAAATTATTTATAGTTACAGAGACATAGACTTTTCTTATATCATTTAGCCTAAAGATATTCTGGATACACCAGATGTTACTTACTACTAACATTTCAATTAATTAATTGCCAAATAGCTGTAACATTTTAGTTGTACAAATTAACATATCACATGGTCTGAAATTTGTGCAGTTTTGAGTTGTGAGTTTGAATGTTTTCATTTATATATTAAAGTTTGACTCACAAAGTGGTAAGATAAAGTTTTATTGAGGAACAGCTTTTTAAATAATCTACTATTATTTCTGCTTCTGTTTTGGGAACTTTTTTTACGTAGAATCTATCTGAAACTATCAAATAATAAATCAGTGTGACACTACAGTAAGTCTCTGTTTTGGAAGAGTTTCTGGTACTTTATAAAATTTATTTTGGTGGTTATGACCTATAAAACACAGTATGATTATTAAAGATTCACTTCTCAGATTCGTGATTCCAGCTGTGATTGTGTGTAGATAATTATGCTCTGCAATTTTACAATGTTTTCATGTTGATCCCATGTGAAAATCATGCAAAATGAAGAGGATGTTTATGCATGATTTGTGCCATGACAAAGCCAAAAATGGTCAGATCCATAATTATTAGGATGCACTTGGTGCTTAGAGATGTCTGATGGTGTTTTCAGGTGAATCTCATAATCATAGAAAATCATGAGGGCTCATGTTTAATTTCAATTTTCATTCATAGCCACCCAAAATTTAATAAACTTACTGGCTTGCTGAGTTGTGTCGGTCTTGTTCTTGCTCCAATTACTCCATTTCCAAAAGAAAGGCTCTGGAGTTGCACAGCGAACTCGGAAAATGTAATTTGTGTATGGACGCAATTTGCCCACTAAGATTGTATAACGTGAATTTTCTGAATTATTCAGCAGTACATTCTTAAAGAAGAAAACAGGAACATATCTTTATGTCAAAGAGCTGATAATTAGAACTATCATTGTGGGTCCAGATTTTATTTATTTTATCATTAAAGTTCTATGCTACGTCACTGAGGTGACTCTAGGCAACTTACAGTCATACAATTCAAATATCATATAAAACATGAAAACAATAAAGAAGAACCATACATTTCAAATTCAGTTAAAATTCAATTAACCAAGATGGAAAAGAAAGGAGCAGAGTGTGCATGGGGAATAGGTGGCATCTAATTAATCCATTAAACTCAAGATGCCATTCCCCATTGGGTCCTCAGACCAGCTGGCAGACCCAGGTCTTCAAGCCCTTTTGGAAGTCCAGAAAGGGGGGGATGTCACTCAGAGGCAGGATACTCCAGGGGTTGTGTTCCTTGGTAGAAAAGATTCTTCTGGATGCCACTAGGCACAATTCCTTGAGCAACGGGGTCTGCAGCATCCTTTTCTGCCAGTGCAGATGGGGTGGGCTAATCCCATTGGAAAGAGCTGGTTCCTCAGATAACCTGATCCATACCATGAAAGGCTGTTTATATAATGTATCACTCTTTTGTAGGAGCATACAAATTTAAGGGGAAAAAATGCGTAGATCCCTTTCATATGTGACACAGCAAGAGAGATCTAATGTTCCTCTGAATGTTGTGCAACCAATGAATGTTGCAAAAACAATCTGTTGATTCCACCTAATTAGTGCCTGGCAAAAGGCAAAGCACTGATGTACCCAATCAAGTATGCTTGCAACCATGCATTATTTCCAGGAAGCCAATGGTCAAATGTTCTTGTATGATGAGCAAACAGACAGGTGAAAGAAAATCAAAGGATGAATAAAAGGGGAACTAACAGAATGGGAACATTTTTCCCACGTTTCATTTTTTTTCTAGCTAATGCAGCTTCACCAGTGCACAAGTGTTACTGAAGGGTTGATGTAAATGAAACCTTCGACAACACTTGTACAGCTCTATTTGCTCTATAGCAAATGGTAAAGCTGTATTTGCTATAAAAATGAAAGAAAGGATTTAATTCCATTCTTATGGGCTCACCTTAGAGAGCATGTTAGGGTCAATGCAGCAGTGAGCCTGGTAAACAGGACATCATCAAGTCAGTCTTGAAAGAGTTGCATTATGTTTTTTTTTACTACAATTTACAATAGTTTACAATAGTGGAGCTTTCCCCTTTTGAGCAGGAAGAGAGATTTTTATTTGGTCTGGTGTGCTTATGGCGTTTCAGGGGGCCTGAAGTGGCAGGAAGCAAGGCCAAGTGGGGTGGGGTTTTTTTCTTGCTTTGGGGTGCAACTGAAGTGTTTGACATCTTAAGTAGATGATGAGCAATACATCATCAATTTTCAGCCTCTGTGGTAAAAGAAAATTCCAGTGATTGTGTAGAAGATCCCATTCGTGTTAAATGCTTGGGATCTGGCTTTTGAGGAACTATCCTCAAAAGGATCTACAGCAGGTCTTTAAAATGCTGCATGTGCACGGCCATGTGTTTTCTTTGGATAGAAAAATGGCATATAAATTAAGCAAATAAACAATAGTTCTTTATAAGAGGAAGACAGGAGAAGGGGTCACTAACTAAACTACATGTATAATCCAAGTATAAAGACAGAGTCAGGGCATGTCTAAGAAGAGGCACCAAAGGATGAGTATAATTTTGCCATTTAGACATGGCAATAATATATTATAAAAATGTCATAGGATGCCTACCCTTTCTTCTTGGAAAGGGCCACTGGGAATTTGAACCTGACATTGCAGTTTGGTTTCTTTGAAATTGCCAGGCAAAGAAAAAGACAGTCTGAAGCTGGTTGAAGTTACACTGCTCACTCTTAAGTCTGCAGGAGTAGGTGGGTAAACTGGAAAGCAAAAACAAATATATTTCATTAAAAAAAAAAATCCTAACTTGTGTTTATTAGAGGGCAAACCAATGCAGCACAAAATGGTAAACTAACAAATTAGCATATGAGCAAGTAAGGATTTTGTTTCTACATTCCCCCCAAATTCTTGCTAGGAATAAATTAACACTTTATTCATTAAACCACAAACACACAAAGAAAGGGGGGGGAGGAGGAGGAGAGAGGAAGAAGGAAGGAGGAAGAAAAAGAACCTATAAATTGAATACATCTTTTTCACAGAAGATTAATAAAAGTTTAATTAATGATGAATAATTTCAAACTTTAAAAAAAGTTCACCACCACAGCACAAATTAAAAAAATCTCACCTCTATGCCTAATATCAGTTATGAGGGAAGCTTTTGATTGGCCGAGATGATTGGAAGCATGTAGTGTGAAGTTGTATTCTGTTTGGTTCTTCAGGATTGTAAAATTGCAATGATAATTTTTACGATTTGATTCTGCACATGTGATATTTTTCCCAGAGTTTCTGAAAAATTAAAGAGAAATTATGATTAAAAATGGACACATCTCATAGAAAAGGTCAGATAAATCACAGTCATGCAATGATTTCAGTGGGGAAATAAGACTCAAAAACAAATGTCATTAAATAAACCTTATCTCGTTGGCCCTCTGTTTTTCTACTCCAGATCAGCCCTGCTATAAATAGGGAGAGGAAATTGGTTTTCTGCTCTTCATTCTTTCTGTGAGGGGAGGCTTGGGGGGGGGGAGGAAGCAGGGGGGGGGAATGCCTGCATGAAGGTGGCTAGATTTTCCAAAGCTGAATGAAAATATAATACTTGAATCTGAAGAATCCCTGAGTAAAAGATTTTCTCCTCTGTCTACTTTCCATCCTCAATGGAATCCCGTCTCTATCCCACATCACTTATTTCTTTTACCATCTATCTTATAATCATCAATAGATTCTGTGAATGAGGGGTTCTTAGTGTCCTCTGAGCTTGGTTGTTTTCTTGCAGATGTAATGAAACATTTGAAAGAAAACAACCAAGCTCAGAGAACACCAAGGACCCCTCATTTCAATGCTGAGCTATAAAAATTCTCCTTTACCAATTGTGTGAATATGTGAAGGAGCCACTTTTAAGATCTGTAGAAAGGATCTTGGAAAATGTGTTATTTCTTTATGTATTCAATTTACAGCCTGCCTTTCCTACATAACATTCCTTCCTCCTACATATGTGCTCAAAACCACCAACTTTGAGAAAGAATATCCCAAATTTCAAGTGGCAACTGTTCTGAAGAACAATTCTGAAGAAGCTTCTAGGATGAGAAGTGAAACATCAAGTCCAGTTGCCTCTTGAAAAAGCACCTTTTGGACAACTATGACCTGAATCTCCATAGACATTTGAGACAAAATGGCTGGCTTAAAAGACAGTGATTTTCCATAGCTGAGAATAGACTTCAACCTACATCAACCTCTTAACCACTACACTATATTGGTTCATACTCCTATTAGGCCATCATAGATGTTACTTTGATGGCCCTAGAAAACCAAAAGGAAGACATATGATATATGGTCATTTATAATTAGCTCTCCACAGACTTATCCCATAGGGTGAACCTACAATCTAAACATACATATAAATAAATGACAAGTTTACCTGAATAATCAGAATGTTTATACCAAATATGTCACATTTTTATAGTTCAATATATATATTCTCCTGCTTTAAAAAAAAGTACATGAAAACAAACCTTTCAAATAAGGCATGTTTGGTTTTTCTTGCACCACCTAATAAAGTGGGCTTTCCCTCCTGCCAGTAGCATGTTATTTCCTTAAAATTCTGTGTTTCACAGCTTAAATTTTGTGGAACATCCGGAGGATCTATAATAACAAAGAAGAAAGAAGTGTTGCCTAAATGTACATATCAGTTGAACCTTTGTCTCATCTCAACAATAACTCAGTAAGGAAATTAATATAAAAGGGTTATTCTGGTCACAGTTTTGTTCCACGTAGCATCAACCTTCTAAACTCTCAAGTTTCCTCTTTCTGCTATGTATTTAAAATGGACAGTGATTAATATTTATATGTGTGTATATATGCATGGGTATATGTATTACAGTTTGGTAACTGAAATTCTGGTAAGTATAGTCTCAACAAACATGGAGGGTTAGGAAGAAAAGCTACTCTGGGTTTATTCCAATCAAGCATAGGCTTTAAAACTTAGGAAGAAGTTCAGCTAATAACATACATTAGTGTCCCTATGCAGACATTCAGGGCTTGAATAAAAAAGCAAACAAAATATCTAAGGAAGGGTGGACCATTTCCAGTTTAGTCTGTAGACCAAAGAACCCATGTTACCATTTATCTTGGGCAACAGTACCTACAGTATAGGTAATCCTCAACTTGTGATCACAGTTGGGACTGGAATTTCATTTCCTAAGCAATGGAGTAGTTAAACAAGTAATAAGGTGACTGGATCCAATTTTACAATCATTTTTTTCATGGTTGTTAACCAAATTCGACTTCCACCATTAATTTTGTTTGTTAGAAGCCAGCTGGGAAGTCATAAATTGCAATCACATGACTGCAGGATACTGCAACCATTGTAAATGCAAGCTGATTGCTAAGTGCCCAAATCGTGTTCACAAAATTGGGATGGTGATGCAATTTAGAGGATAGGTCATAAAGTCACTTTTTTCAGTGCTGTCATAATTTAGAACCATTATTAAACTAATACCGTGTTTCCCTGAAAATAAGACCCGGTCTTATATTTTTTTCCTCCAAAAGAGGCACTAGGTCTTATTTTAGGGAGGGTGTCTTACCTTAGGACCACCAAAGCCAGGCCTCCCACACTCCGAAACCCGTTGCGCCACTGCTTGACTTCTTCAGCGGCCGCTTGCTGCCACTTGTGACTGGACACTGTGTGGCTCTTTGGGTTGTTTCCACTGCTTGTGGCAGGATGCTGCATGGCACTTCGCATCATTGCTGCCACTCGTGACAAGAAGCTGCATGGTGCTTCAGGCCATTTCCACTGGTCTGGCTGAATGCTGCAGCAGAAGTGGCCCGAAGTGCCATTCAGCGTCCTGCCGTGAGTAGCAGAAACAGCCCGAAGCACCATGCAGCTTCTTGCCATAAGTAGCAGCAATGGTGCGAAGTGCCATGCAGCATCCTGTCACAAGCAGTGAAAATGGCTCCAAAGGCCACGTGGCATTCTGCTGCAAGCAATGGCAATGGCGTGAAATGCCATGCGGCATCCTGCCATGAGCGGCAGCAACGACCCAAAGCGCCATGCTGCATCCTGCCATGAGCAGCGGAAATGCCCTGAAATGCCATGCAGCGAGCGTCCTGCTATGAGCAGCAGAAATGGCCCGAAGCGCTGTGCAACCTCCTGCCACGAGCAGTGGCATTGGCACGACAAGCCACACAGCTTGACAAGTGTTGGGGTGTGCGAGGCCTGGCTGTGGCAGTACTACCAGTAAGGTAAGTGGGTGTGGGGCATGTGGGGCAGCTTCACACCCTTACCCCTGCCCTAGCTTGATCTTTAGGTATGCACCTCACCCAAAACTAGGATTAGTTTCAGGGGGCTTATATTAGGCCCACCCCGAAAATCAAGCTGGGGATTATTCTGGGCAGGGACTTACTTTGGGGAAACATGGTAGTCTTAAGTCAAGTATAATAGGAATGATAGTGAAAACAATTTTCAGTTGCAACACTGAAGCATTACAACAGGGATCCCCAACCCCCAGGCCATGGCCCATTCGGAACTGGGCCATGCAAGCAGCGGGCAAGTGGCAGGCAAGCATGCGAAACTCCATTTGCACAAGCTCTTGTGCCTTTCTTGAAAATATATTTTCTTGGAGGGAGGGGGTACAAAAAGGGTACCAAGAAATATCAATAATATTAGCTTTTCTTGAATTTCAGAGGCAAATCAAGATCAAATCAAAATAAGCCACTGGGATGGAGGGTGAATGAGTTTGGAGAGGTAATGCTGGCATGCCAAATATTTCTGAATTGATTCATTTAATTCTACATATTGTGCAGTTCAGGGCCAAAATATCTAAAGGAATATTTTCTCCTATATACACATGCTGAAATAATTTGATCATCTTCACTCAGGCTCTTTCAAAGCCTTTGCTAAATGTAGAAATTTTTCTTCACTGTAGAGTTCCATGCTAGGATAGTATGCATTGCTCTGTTTTCAATAATAAAACTTTCATTTTTCCAAATCATTTGAGAGTTGCGTTTTGAAATATAAGTATAGGAGATGACCAGGTTGAGCCCGAGGGAGGAGTCAAACACATCATCATTCTCAGGTCACTTTGTAGCCATAAGTATTCTAAGTTCAGGCAGTCTTGAATTTTGTTGATTCCTATCCACCACCTATTTGCTTTGCCTTTTAATAGTTCAAATTCTTGTATCTCAGAGCTTTAGCATACAACAAACCTATATATTCATTGAACTGCCCAGACTCTTAGTTTCCTGCTCTTGGCAGTAAGACCATATGTAGAAAGCAGCTTTTACACATTTTATTTCATTTTATTTCATTTCTCCTTTTATTATTTTCACCAAATTTTTTATCTTTGTCATCCACCCAAATTGTTTACCCACACATGGATCCACACAGAATATGTAAACCATAAAATATAAGGGGGGGGGGAAGAATACTTACAGCCCACAAATAAAACCGTTCCAGTAACGAAATATCTGTCTGTTCCTCCCTCTTGTATTTTACACCAGGCATTAAATCCAGAATTAGCGGCAGCAGTGACATTTTGCACAAAGAGTGACTTGCTCCATTTGGTGAGAGGGGCAGCCTTACAGTTCAGAGTGTTGCACAAATTCCCATATTTAATACTGATGAAAGTATCTTCAGCTTTATACATACAGCAGAAAGTCACGTTGGAACCTCCTACCACCACTTTATCTAAAGGGTACATTTTTGTGAAATTGCCTCTGTCCTTTCCTGCAACAGAAAGAATTGGCAACATTGATTATCCAGCAGAACAGCTGCACATAACAAGCCATTTAGAGGCTCAACCTCTGGAGAATTATAGCCACTGAGCTATAATCTCCATTACAATGAATGGGTAGCACAGCACAACACAGGTGCCTTTGAGAAGGTACCCTTAAACTAACAATATTAACTAAAATTACTTGTCCTGAAAAAACTCAAATCTTTAGAAAAATAGAGCCTCCGATTCTGGATGTGAAACAAGCTAAACTCACAAAATTTATTTCTCCAACTTAGAACTAATGAGAAATTTTCTGTCAGTGAGAACAATTAATCAGTGGAACAACATACCTCCAAAAGTTTTGGGTGCCCTAACACTGGAGTTTTTTAAGGAGACATTGGACAACCATTTGTCTGAAATGGTATAGGGTTTCCTGCTTGAGCATCCTGCTTGTGATTCAGGATGTCATAAACAGCCGTTGATATTAGTAGCTTTGATTACTGATTCACCATAAATCTGCCCCAGTTCTTTTCCCCAAATATCCAAATTACTTGCCATAACATAACAATACAATATTAGAATAACAGAATTGGAAGGGACCCTGGAGATCTTCTAGTCCAATCCCCTGCTCAAGCAGGAAACCCTAAACCATTTCAGACAAATGGTTGCCTAATCTCTTTTTAAAAACCTCCAGTGTTTGAGTCAAGTCGTTAATTGTTCTGTCAGGAAATTTCTCCTTATTCTAGGTTGGTTCTCTCCTTGGTTAATTTCCATCTGTTGCTTCTTGTCCTGAAGGTGCTTTGGAGAATAAATCCCCCCCCCCCAATCTTCTTCGTGGCAACCCCTGAGACATTGGAACACTGCTATCATGTCACCCCTACTCCTTCTTTTCATGAAACTAGATATGCCCAATTCCTGCAACCGTTCTTCATATGTTTTAGCCTCCAGTCCCCTTATAATTTTTATTTCTCTTCTCTGCACTCTCTCTAGAGTCTCAACATGTTTTTTATATCATGGTGACCCAAACTGTATGCAATATTCCAAATGTGGTGCTACCAAGGCATTACAAAGTGGTACTAACACTTGATGTGATCTTGATTCTCTCCCTTACCATACCTGCTAGGACTGAATTTCACAATTTAACTGCAGGTTGTATCAAAAAGCATTTTCTTTAGTCAGTCCTGAGGTGTCCCATCTCCACCAGTGGTTTATAGCATCTCCCAGAATCATCCAACCATTGGTGAGCAGAAATGGGGCAAGGTTTATATTGACTCAACAATGGATAGGTGATGTTCAGAGTGACACATGAATCTCTTCCATTCAGTTTCAATGGAATTTTTCAACTTCTACACTGTGAGAGGAGTAGGAAAAGCATTTCCCTGTCCTTGTTATCTATATCATGCCTGTTATATTTTCCCTCTTAGTCTCCTTCTTTTCAAGCTAATAAGAGCAATAATAATAAAAATAGTTTTTCTACAAGTAGCCTGCAACTAGTGCAAGTTTGAATAATGCAATATTTAATGTGAATTGTAAATTGATACTATTTAACTGATTCTACTTCATATGAAACAAAATTCAGTTAGAGCAAGATTCTCTCAGAGGAAAATAGTATAAGTTTTAAAAAGAAGAGGTTCATTATTATATTGCAGCAAAAATCTGATGTAATTGACAACATGGCCATTGTAACACTAAAATATGACAAGATGGGAATGCCAGAAAAACCTACATAGAGGTTTCTGGTTTTTATTTTGCTTTCTATAATTATTCTGTGACTTTGTTAATCATAAACTTAAATTATAAGCCTATTCTTTTTATCCTTTACTATAATATTTCATTAATGTACATATAAAAATTAATGTTTCATTTTTTTCAATGCCTACTTCCGCTGAACTGGAACCAATAACCCTACTTTCCATAGAAATGCTTCAAATAGTGCAGATTTGAATTTGACTAGTTATTGGAAGACCACCTTTCCCTTATTACACCCACCCAACTCACCAGGACAGAAAAGCAGCATACGCTGCAGATTGTAAAACTGGGTCACTTATGTGATGAACCATTTTATGACCATCCTGACTTACTGTAATGAGCAGACTCTATTACAATCTAAGTTGAGATCTGTATAACATACTATGCACACCTAGTTATATTCCATGCTATCAGTACCTTCTAGTAAAAATTAAAATAGAATTAGAATCTAAATTGGTCTGGAAGCACCTTTACTTTTTAGTAAACCAAAACTTCCATAGTTCGCCCATATTTTTCTATTTCTAGCAATAGCAAAGGTTGCTAGATGGATGGTTAAAATTCAGTCTTTCACCTATTTAGAAAACAGCAATACATGCATAGAAACTCTTGGTACTGAGTGGTAAGAAGAGAATGAGTCAGCTAGTCATTCATCAGTAGGTGCACATTTGATAAGACTCTTCTTATTCCAAAAGTTGGGTTCAACTGCATCATATTACCTGGAATGTTTGCAAGTGGACTCCATTCACTCCACGTCTTCTTTCCATCAAAATTTTTCTCATTAAGAAAACAGCGAATCCTAAAGTAGTGAGTGGTGCAATTAAAAGGCAGATCCGATGTCCATTCCCAACGAAGGAGAGTATCTCTGCTGCCAACTGATGTGTTATATGTCTCCTAAAAAACATAAGATTTGTTCCAAATTTATATTTATCAAAGTAACTAATCATTGCACTGCTGATGTGCAACAACAGAATTTAGGCAAAAAGAAGACTATATTAACACTCATTGTATTCATGCAGATTTCCACATCCTTTCCCCACCCTTAATTGTATTGATCAAGGAGGGGGACTAAAAGAACCATGTTGAATTGGAATATCATATTGATATTATTGATATTATTCCAGATATTAAGGGGCAGATTTTAGAAATATGTGATCCATCTATTTTGGAAAAAATAGCATTTTCTGCTATTCAAAGGATGAAGAAATATGTATTATTATGCAGAGATTTTGTGATGTTTTACAATAATATTTTGTACTAACCATTTTATAGTAGGATATAATAATTCTTAGTAAAGCAGTGACTATTGATAAGTATAATACGTAAGAAATTATTTCCCTTTCTCTCTCTTTTAGTTTGACAATTTCCCCCCAATCCTTTCTTTCTTTTTGGTGGTGTTTATGTGTTGTTGTTTTAAGTTTAATTTGGGGAGTGGGGGTTAATTATCTGGAGAAGTTAGTGTACTTAATTTTTGTCATTTTTCTTGTAATTTGTAAATAAAATTAAACACTTTTTTTAAAAATACCCCACCCTCATTGCTGAACCCCTCATTTTAAGATGGCTATCATATACAAACATTTTCCTACATCCTTTTTATTCTTGAAGGTTTTTGGGATACAATTTAAGCAAAGAGGTAGGGAGACTCTTTAAAGAGGTTCTCTATTATGACACATCATGCTAAGCTATGGCTTGTTTTCCTATGAGTTGTATAACAACCCAGAGTAACATAGTTAAGCAGTTAATAAAGAATACCTATTGTTTCATCTATTGCTTTAAATCTAAAACCAGCTATGTCTTACCATATATGTGAATTCAGTGAATTTCCTAGTTAAACAGGATCTCCCATTCAAACACTTTAGCCTAACCTGCTGACATGCAAACATGCTGCATTATAATTTTCATATCCCATAGCAGCATGATGGAAACTTCTGCTTGATGATGGCAGAAGTCATCACCAGGACTCCGAGGAAGGCGATCATTGTGCTATGTGTCTCACTATAATTTTCCAACATTCCAAAGCTGCTCTAATTCTATTTCATTGGTTTGCAGGCTTATAATGGATCACAGTAATTGCCTTGCAATTTCCTCCTTAACTCTTCGCTTTTTATCATCAGCTTCTCTCTCTAATGATTAAACTTGCTTTTATTGAATGATTGTAACGATTAGCTCAAGATGCTGCCATTCAGTGGCCTTGATTACAATTGTCACCTGAGAATGGGATCAATCATTCTCTGTCACTACAGACCATCAGATTACACAAACATATATACACAGAAAGGTGTAAAGACAGACAACTTACTAGTGCTATTTCCTCCATTGGATCTTTACGCAGAATCTGAATTTGCCAAATACAATCAATTTTGTATGGAAAGACTGATCCGCCATCATACCATTCCAGAATCAACGTGTCAGCTAAAAAATCTGGAGTCAGTCTATGAATATGAGGTATCAGAGGAACAAGTACTGGGTGGAAGAAAAAAGGTTAATTGGACTCAGAAATACTGGATGTCAATAAGTGTTCTGAACACAAATCTCTTCCTTTCTGGTGTAGTCACTACTCTGCTTTCTCCTACAGAAAGGAATTTTTCAAACTCTAGTGAAAATAACTATTGTACCATATTTTCTTTTATAGTACTTTATTTCATCAAAGGCAAACTTGTAAGATGAAAAGTGTGACAACTGATAATATTGTTATGGACAAATGTAAAGGATTTCACTGGAAATTGTATTTAACAGTGTATTCTGTAGCCACAAGCTAAAAAGAAAACAAGATAATTATTTTGCTACAATTATATATGTACTTTTATTTTTAACTTTAATTAGATTGCACTCAAAAATCACAGCTGTAGCTAGGGCTTCACACTGAATATTTGAATTCAAGAGTCATGCTCTCCTGAAAAAAACTGTACATCAAATCTTACCATTTAAACTGCAGGACAATACTGTGGGAAATTATTGTTTGGAGGAATTCCAAACTAGAACATCATCTCTAATCTATCCTCTACCACTTATTCTTAAAATGGAGAAAACTCCCTTTCCATTTTATAAACAGGAAAAACAAGCAAAATTGATACCAAAAATCAAAGCTTCCAAAGCTTGAAAACAGGATATATGTATTCGGAGAAATATCAGTACACATAGAAATCATATAACATACTATGTTATATGTATAAATTATCTGAAATAATTTTGTTCATGCATCACCTTAGTTGTCATTCTATATAACAGACAGAAAGAACCAGATGATCAGAAATAGATATTTTGTTATTGAACAAAAGAAATCTCACTTAGTGTCTTGATTCTCTGAAGATAGCATAAAGCAGTCACAACATGTTACATCTAGTATTCAGCTGCCCTGATCATCAGCAGAGAAAGCACAGGAAATCTCAAGCAGGATCTGGACCCCCAAATTAGAAGGTCCTTACTTTGTCTTTCCAACTATTTTATCTCTAGATTACTTCACATCAAAGTTTTTAACAAAGCAACTCACTTCACTGGAAATGCTTTTTTATTATTATTAATGTGCAGCAGGAGAAAAAACATGGATAAATTGGTGTAATAGAAGTTTAAGAATTCCCAGTCTAAGCACAATAATCCCAAATTGAATGAGTATATTTTCTCTGTATTTATTATAAACTTCAAACCAAGCTGCACATTATAGATTGCATAAAACATACTTTGATCTAGAAAAGGAAATACTTCAAGAATTCGGGTAATACTTTATTTTAGATTGCATTAAAATAAAAGCATAAGAAGTTCAATGTAAGCCTGAAACCCACGTGGGCTGATTCTTAGCATTATTCCAAACTCAGCCATTAAATTCCAAACATTCTAGTTTTGAATATAGAAAAAGTATACTTACAAATGTCTTTTTCAGAAAGCAGAAATGTGTTTTCAGCTATGGGATCATTCTTTTTTCCCTTAGCTAATTTGAGGGTGGTTATCTCAATCTGCATATGTTCAAAGATAATTAATGCAAATGTTGCCTTTTTTTCCTTGGTTAATGAACATTGTGGATCAGAAAAACTGCAAAAGAGAAAATTCAGCTTAGCTATTGGAAATCATTTTAAATTATAGAACAACTTTCACAAAGGTCAGAGTAATTCACAATATCTTGGTTGAAAATTAAAATCTCTAAGGTAAAATTCAATAATAAATTGAATTTACCAGTGTATTCTCTAACCATGGGCTAAAAAGCACTCCAGAGAAGCAGGACATTTTTTCTGTTTTGGTGCTCCTGAAACACATGTATAGAAAGAAGGCCAAAGCTACAAAAAAAAAAAAACAACAAACCCTATTTTACATGCAAAAGACTCACCGGCTATTAAATTACTCCAAGTGCATTATGTCTGGAGTAGAAAAAAATGAAAACCTGAGCCAAACTACAACTTTCACCTTACGTTTAAATATCTGGATCCATTTCTATAATACTCAAAACAAAATTTAAAAAGTTCAGTTAAAAAGTTAATTATGCCATGGTCGTGCTGTGGTTAGAATGCAGTATTGCAAGCTAATTCTGCTGACTGCCAATTGCCAGCAGTTCGGCCATTCAAATATCACCAGCTCAAGATCGACTCAGCCTTCCATCCTTCCAAGGTTGGTAAAATGAGGACCCGGATTGTTGGAGGCAATATCCTGAGTCTGTAAATTGCTTACAGAGGACTGTAAAGCACTGTTGAAGTGGTATATAAGTCTAAGTGCTATTGCTATTGCTATCTCTTCAGGGATTTTTTTAAAATACATATTTTAGATGTTTTCTGAAGATCCTAGAAAAGTGAGCACTTACATATCAGCTCATGTACAGATTAAGAAAGTGCAGACTTAAGAATCAAATGAAGAATTAGCCTGAATTTATTACATAAACACAAGAGGAAACAGTCTTAACTTCCCAGCACCCTTTGAGCCTGATCTAGTTTTCCCCAGGCCAGACTGGGAAGATTCCTATGAAATAGGCATAAAACAATCACTAGTTTGAACTTTACAGTGTAGGTTTGGTTGTTCATGCTTGACAATAGTTTGAGATACAACTCTAACAATAAAACTGAACCACCATTAAGTATGGTGTCAAAAATGGAAATTCTGGACAAACTAGCAATAGCAACAATACTTAGGCTTATATACTGCTTCATAATGCTTTCCAACATTTTTTTTTTTAAAAAATAAGGTGAATGAGTTACTTCATTTTCTTCTTCCTACTTAAACAAAAATGTCACAAGCCCAATCTTGGTTATAATTCTAATAATTTGCATAAAAAAAAGCCACAATCGAAAAAAACCAGAAAAAACAGAATTCATGATTCATGCTCTTTGGGAAAGGTAACTTGTTGTCTTACCCTCAAATATGCCAAATTAGAAGCAAGTTTTCGTCTCCTGCTGAAAACTGCTTAGCAGCAAAACCAAAGGAGACCTTTTGAGGACTTACAGTGGTTTGATACCAAATATTAGACAAATATTTGGGATATTGGCAGAAAAAAAAGAACTTTGGGCAAATTTTGACAAGCATAGACTAGCCGTGGGTTTATATCTTATTGAGTGGCTGTGATAACATTTCTTCATCAACGCATTTGACCAGAGATGTACAATGGAATTTTCCAGGTACCAAGTATTTTAATTAAAGAATGTAACAATGCTTGCTGCATAGCAACTTCCTGTTACATATTGAGAAACTTTTCACAGAACAAAATGTTTTATGTGTTATGTCAAATGCCCTTTGACAGAAGTATTCAGACCGATCACAGTCCCTTGGAAGAAGATGAAGAATATTTAGTCTGGTGATGCCTATCACAGGATTCTTGGAAAAAGCAGAACACCATTCACCTCTGAACCCTCATTCTTTGTGGTTGACACAAAGATCTTGCTATGGTTTTAAAGAAGCCAGGGTATGGATATTTTTTTTTTAATGATGGTTTCTTTAGATCTCAGAAATTATTACTAAGTGTCTCTTTTGTATTTATTGACAACAGGAAAATATAAGATAGTTAGTCAGTTCCTTATGCTTGGGATGTTCCATGAACTTCCCAAGAATTTGACAGCTGATTTCTAGTATGGTATTTTTCCCATACTTCCTTTCATATCATTCCTTTCATTTCCTTCAAAATTCTTATTTAAAAAACCTGGAAGCTCTGAACTGTAATATGAATTATTTTGCCTGAATGAAGGCTGATACAACAATACAGTTTTAAAAAAGACAAAGATGAAACTGATTTGATTTTTAAAATGGCAAGCAAGCAATGTACCAAAAGCACTCTTTTGTTTGTAGAGCCATCTCTTTAAGAACCTCCTCAAGTTGGCATTAGTTCTAAATTTCTAAGTCACACTATTTCCACTATTTCCAACTTAATCTATTGCATTTGCTACACCATCTTCCCAAAATTGAAGGTTTCTAATTGTATTGGATCAACTCTCATCCAAGATAGCTTTAGGGAATTTGGGAAGTCTAGACATCTGGAGCAAGCTAGAGTATGGGAAGTTTACTTATATCTTCTCCTTCATTCCTGGAGACTTCCTTCAATAAAGCATACATTAGTAATTTATGGATTAACTACATGCTTTAGAACTATACTCTAGTATGGTTCTTGAAGATAGTTCAAATCTGAAATGCAACTAAAATTTAACTAAAACAAATCCCTTCTCTGTTTTCTGATTCATTTGAGGAAGACAATTTGCCAGTGTTGTTGTGAATGAAAATACCAATGGTGATACCATCTGAAGAATGCAGTCCTTTCTACTTCACTATCATACCTGAGACGTATTTGTAGTGACCATTGGCAGAGGCCAAACATGAATAAATTGAGTTTATTAACAAGGCCGAGAAAAACTTTAGTTCTACAGACTCCATTGGTGCTCTGTCTCTAAAGAGCACTTTCTTAAACCAACTCTCGATACATCACAATATAAAATTATGAAAAAGATTTTGTACAAGCTATCAATATTGTTACCTGGCATTGTAACAGAATTCATAAATATGTTTTGAATCATCTTCAGCAGCCGTAGTCCAAGTGCAGACAACATTGTCAAGATTGTGTGTTATACATGTCAAGTTCTGAGCCAAATATGAAGAATCTGGAACTAAAATAAAAATGTTAATGAACTTCCACTTCAAAAATCTATGCTCCAAAAACTATGAAAACTCAAAAGATAGTCCAGTGTTTAAGATAGCAAGCTAAAAACCAGGAGACCAAGTTCTAGTTCTAGCTTTGGCATGAAAGCCAACTGGGTGATCTTGGGCCAGTTACTCTTTTCAGCTCAACTCACTTTACAAGGTGGTTATTGTGGGGTAAATAGAAGAAGGAAAGAGCATTATTATGTTTGCCACCTTGAGTTATTTATAAAAATAAGAAAGGGAGAATAAAAATCAATCAATCAATCAAATAAATGCCTGGTGAATATATTTGGAGCTACAGAATGGTTCAGCTAATCCAGTGGTTCTCAACCTGTGGGTCGGGACCCCATTTGGGGTCGAACGACCATTTCATGGGGGTCGCCAAACAACGCAGTCCGCCATTTTTTTCCCCTTTTTCTTAGCTGTGCTACTCCCTTTTATTGTATTGGCTTTTGAAAGCCAATAGAATAGACTCTCTTGAATAGAGTCTAATTCTATTGGCTTTCAAAAGCCAATAGGAATTGTCCAGGCTGTCTCTGCTCTGCTGAGCCCGCCAAAAGTCCCATTCTGCAAACGGTGCTGCACCAGTTGAGTAGTCCTCGACTTACGATCGGTTGAGTAGTCCTCAACTTATGACCAATTGGGGGTCGCAGCATTAAAAAGGATGAGAACCACTGAACTAATCAAACTATCTCATATTTCAAACATATTTTACAATGGATTAATAATAATTCCCTTTCCCAGAGAACTTTTAATGATGTGAAGTCCTTCAATGAATCCTGAGCTACAGATACTATCTTCTATTGAACTTTCAAAGATGTAATTCTCTGAAATGGATCAAGTGATCTTTAATGCAAAATATTGCCCTCAACATTTATTTTCTCAAGCCAGTTTGAAGGAAACCATAATAGGTAAGCTAATATAAAACTGGTTATGTATTATTTTGTGTCTGGAATCATGAAAGTTAAAAAAAGATTCATTTTCAGACTGTAAATTAATGAGGTTTTTAGAACATTAACCTTGATTCTTTAAAACAGAATAAGCACCTCAGCACTGATAATCAATTTGATCTAGTGGTTAAGGCACCAGGTTAGAAACCAGGGAACCGTAAATTCTAGACCTGCCTTGGGATCAAAGGTGATTTTGGGCCAGTCACACACATTCTCTCTCAAGCCATGATGTAAGGCTTAGGACTGATTGGTCAATTCCTATTGCAACCAATAGATAAACTTTTGGTTTACCTGAAAAAATAAGCGGACCCTGAACTTATAGGAAAAATACCAGGAAGGAAAAAAAACTCAGTATTAACAACAGACTTTATTTTATTTTATGTTTCCTAAAAAAAATACCCTACTGCATTGACGTGAAGCACATAGCTAGCTGAATGGTCAAGAGTTTTTCATTAAATGCAAACCAAATTTCTCTTAGGATGGTTGCATTGTGAGTTAAGCAGGATTCCTTCATAAATTCAGCAATACAGGTAGATGTTACCATGCTAATAGTTCCATATTATCCTATTGACTTCTGCTGATAAAATCATTTTCTTTATTTACTGCATGTATATTCTGTCTTTTCCCCAGCAGATAAAGGTGGAATAATACAGTTTTTGAAATACACATACGAGGTAGGTTGAGGTACATTTACCAATTTGGTCAATAGTCCCAGTGCTTTTTTTGTTAAAAAAAAAAAGTGCCGGAACTCACACACATCATACAACCCGCCTTGCCTACCCTACAAGGTTCCATCCAAAAAAGGTGCCAGAATTCCGTTCTGGGCATTCTATGACAAAAAAAAAAAAAAGCCCAGAATAGTACCCAGAGTACCTTAGGATCAACTGAGAATCTGGACTGAGGCTTTAACATGGGTCTAGTTCAACACCTAACAGCTATACCACTTAATCAAATTATTAAAAACAAGAATGCAAACAGCTGCCAAACTACTGAGAGCCAGTGTGGTATACTGATTGGATTAGGACAGGGAGATTCAAATTCAAGCCTATTTTCAGCTATGCAAACTCAAGGGTTACTCAGTTCAACCCATACTACAGAGTTGGTGTAAGGGTAAAATGAAGAGAGATCCCCGGGTAAGTAGCCATGACCTCTTAGGAGAAAGGGGGAAATAGGTTCACAGGTGGAAAGCCTATCGTGAAATTAGTTACAAAGAAGATACAATAGTCTATGCAATATAAAAAAAATCCCATAAAAACAAAAACAGAAGAATCAAAACATGTTATCACTAAAAAGCAAACTCTCTGGTTGGTGATCTTGCTGCAGCACAAGCCACAAGCCAAAAACCACTGAACCATAAACTACAGAGTTATATAAAAGTAAAACACAGGAAGTATTTTATAATCAACTTTACATGAACTCTCTGAATGTCAGAAAGTCCAGCACATTTCATTTTAATAAAGGCAAGTAGAAAGGCAGTTAAGACATGGCTGTTTTTCCCCCAGGTTTTTGATTTCAGATGAATGGAGTCTAAATTATTAGTTGTAATACATTTCAATCCAGTATCATTTCATGTTTTTAGTTGATTTTTTAAAGTATTGTGTTTCTTTTCGTTTGGGGCAGTGGGATTTGCATTTATATTTGACTCTTGTATGCTACTCAGTTGGTTGAATTTTGTGGCCATATAAATATTGCAAATTAATTTATACTTAAACATTTCTGCATCTTTACAAAGATGGTCCCTTGTTAGAACTGAACAATTCCCTGATTCTGGGTTTGAAAATATAAGTTGTTTGGAAAATAGATCTGGGATTCATCTTTCCACCTGGGTCCTCTCAGCAGGAAACCAAATGGTATATGGAAACCCTTCAGTATTCCAAAGAATCATACAGGTAGTCTTCAATTTTCAATTCAATAATTAAGCCACAACTTAAGTCATAAGTTGGGCCAGTTGTTAAGAGGGTCATCACATGACCGATCTGATTTTGCACCTTTTTCACAGTTGTCATAAAGCAAATGACATGATTATTAAGTAAACCCTGTGGGTTGCTAAATGAATCTATTGTCCACAATGGGCATATTTTGCTAGAAACTGGAAGTAAACCCTGGAGTGTTTTTCTTTTTGTTTTTTTTTTTTGCAAAAAAGCATCATAAATTGTGGTCTCATGACTGCAGGACACTGCAAAGAGCTGTAAAGGAGGGCAAGTTGCTGAGCACCCAAAATGTAATCATGTGACCATGAGGAGGGGGATCAGAATTTCAAATTTGGGTTATAAGTACCTTTTTGTGCTTCCATCACAACTTTGAACTGTGACCAGTGGTAAATAATAATAGTAATAATAATAGTAATAATAATAATAATAGTAATAGTAGTAATAATAATAGTAATACTACTACACTACTACTACTACTACTAATAATAATAATAATCCCCCAGTGAGGCACTACCTTGACATGGTTGTGGGGCTTGTGTACTCTGAGGAAGATGAGAGCTATGCCAGAGGTTCAACCATACTGGACAGGTCTCATCAGAGGAGTCAGACAAAGAGTGTCTCTCCCATAAAACATAATTACAGAATGCCATACCGGCTTGGATGTCACTTGGGTTAACAAGGTCCGCGCTAGATATTGGAGTTCTTGGATATCTTTTGAAAAATGGGTTACAGGACTCAGGACTGTTGGCTGAGCAACCAGGACCAGCAGCTGCAGAACTACTGGAAGAAAAGGTGTTTACCCGTCGCAGATACACAGTGATGGAAAACAAAGAAATAATGATCTGTTACTACAGACCAAGTCCAACAAGAAGAGGATATCTAAAATGAATGCACCAGTTCTGGAAAGAACAACATCCAGAATCAGAAATAACAGAACAGAGACTAGCAGATCAATGCTGATTTATAATACGAAATAAAGTATTCACAGAAACAGAATTGGATGAACTGCAAAGGTTTACCCAGGGCAAAGAAATCAAAGCCTTACCAGAAGTAATTCAGAATGTAAAGGAAAACCAGGGGGAGTGGGCAGTGAAGGAATCCAGCAGAGATATACAACTGTTCTCATTTGGAAACCAGGCACCTCTTCCTCAGAGGAAAAAAAAATAGCTGGGAAAGCAGATAATAACAAGACCTGGCAATGGCTAAGAGCAGAAAAATTGAAGAAAGAGACCGAGGGACTAATTCTGGCTGCACAAGACCAAGCCTTAAGGACAAATGCATATAAAGTCGAAATTGAGGAGACAACAACAGACAGTAAGTGCCACCTATGCAAAGAAACTGAAGAAACAGTGGACCACTTGGTAAGCTGTTGCAAGAAGATTGCACAGACTGACTACAAGCAGCGGCATGACAAAGTAGCAGCAATGGTGCATTGGAAGATCTGCAAAAAATATCATTTGCCTGTAAGCAAAAACTGGTGGGATCATAAAATAGAGAAAGTCATAGAAAATGATAAAATTAAACTGCTCTGGGACTTCAGAATTCAAACAGACAAGCACCTGCAACATAACACCCCAGACTTAACAATTGTCGATAAGAAAGACAAAAAAGTCTGGATAGTGGACGTGGCAGTGCCTGGAGACAGCAGAATAGATGAGAAAGAACTGGAGAAGATAACAAAATACAAAGACCTACAAATAGAAATAGAAAGACTGTGGCAAAAGCAAGCAAGGGTAGTACCAATAGTATAGGCTCCTTGGTGCAATCCCAAAACAACTGGAGCACCACTTGAACACCATTGGCATTGACAAATTTGCTATTAGTCAATTGCAAAAGGCGGCCTTACTAGGAACTGCTTCCATCCTGTAATACCATCAAACATCCACATCTGCCTATCTCAGGTCCTGGGTAAGGACTCGAAAGGTAGACAAAATGCCAAATCCAGTCTGAACATCTGGCTGACTGTGAGATGCTCCATAATACTCATAATAATAAAAAGTTGAAAGGGACCTTGGAGGTCAAGGACTACCTATTTTAAATTCCTATGCTCCAACTTGGGTACTATATGAATTTTATTTCTCATAA